CCGTGGCACGGGGAGGCGGGGTGCGGGAGGGGTGGGGCCGGGCCGGGGTGCGGGCCCCTCCCTGACCCCGCTTCCTGGCCGCCCGTCCAGCGCTCTACCGGGAGTACCGCGATTTGAAGCGGGTCCTGGCCCAGGACGGCCACAGGCCTGGCAGTCCAGAGCTCGCTCTCTCGGTGACGTCAGACGAGGTACGGTGGCGGGTCATCAGCTCCTACTTCGCTCCCAGGAGTGGTGTTAGGAGCAGTACTGGGCGGCAGGCTCTGCTTCAGTCCAGGGTGGGGGCAGGCGGGCTGGCGACACCTCTGCCTACACTAGCCTAAGCCTGGGCTCCAACTGTCTCCTGCAGGCGCTGGACCCGGACTGCTGGGGGCCCCACTTGAATCGGGCTGCCACTCACAGTCCACAGCCTAGGCCAGGGCCACGTTCTCTGGCATCTGTGCAGGACTATGGGCAGAGGCTCAAGGCCAACCTGAAGGGCACTCTGCAGGTGAGGGGTGAATGGATTCACCTGGTCATCCTCACCGCACATGGACAGGCAGGGCTTCTGCCAAGTAGGACAGATTCCAGAGGGGCCTTCAGAGCCAGCCTCAGCTCGCAGCTCTCAGCTCCCTTCTGCCCCTGCCGCAGCACTGAGGGTCATAGTGTAGTAGGTTCAAGGTTTGCAGCAGCCTGGTGCCTGACGTCTATCTATCCTCCCTCCTGCCAGGCTGAGCCAGCCCTGGGCCACGTACCCCAGCTTCCACAAAGACCCTTTTCCAACGATCCCAGCCCAAGGCCACCAGATGCAGGGGTGGGCCCCCTCCCCTCAGAAAGTGTTGATGGGGCAGCCCTCCTGCTTCCGGTGCCCCAGCCACAGCCACGCCGGCTCCAGCAGCTCCAGGAATCCCGGAACCTGCGGATGAGCACCCTGGACCCTGGCTGGCTGCAGCGATGTCACAGTGGGGCCACACGCGTTTTAGAGGCCCCCAAGGCCTGTAGGTCTAGCCAGGGCACAAAAGAGTCACAGCTTCTTGCCTCAGGCAAGTCGGTCTTCCCTGGCACCAGCTCTGAGGCAGCTTCACAAGGCCAAGAAGCTCCAGCCTGGAAGGCAACCACAGTTGGTGCAGGAAGCCTCACACCATGTGACAGTTACAGCAAGAAGCGGAAGCAGGCCGAGGACCCCAGGGACTGCTCTGTTCAGACCGGGCAAGACAGTGGCCAAGTGGACATTTTATCTGAGGAGGCAGGGGCTGGGGCCACAGTGCTGGAGGAGATCCCTCTGGGGGAGACAGCACAGCCTCAGCCCTACAGCAACCCCTCAGCTTCCAGGTCCCATGGCTTTGGCCCCTCAGATCAAGCCAGGGCAGGGAAGGCTGAGGACACGGCCCACCTGAATGCCCCTCCCCGGCCAGCCATTGGGGATGGGGGTAACTACGTGCGGCTCGACATGAAGCACAGACGCTATGCTCGAGGCCAGGCCCTTCGCAGCAGACTTCTCCGAAAGCAGGTGAGAGGGCAGCAGGAAGACGGGGCACCCTCGCCCTGCTCCACTTCTTACCAGCATGGTCCTTGTTGTGGTCCCCCGAGGTGTGGAAGCAGAAGTGGCAGAAGAAAAGGGAGTGTTTTGGAGGTGGCAGGCCCAGAGCCACTGTCGGGCGAGGGCAGTTCCGCTGCCGGACACCCCGAGCCATCCAGCCAGGTGAGGTCTCTACCTTGCGGGTGGGCCATGCTATGTAGAGGGGTGCTGTGCTCTCTCAGGGGTCACTTCCGGCCTCAGTGAAAGGCCCTGCCCTAACACCCCAAGAAGAAAGAGGTGAGGATGAGAGTGAAACCCAATCTTTCCCACTTTGGAGGAAACAGCCCAGAGAATGGGCACTTCCCACTGTCAGCTCCCTGGTGAGTCTGTGGGGGTCGTTTGCAGCCTAGCCTGGGCTCTCATGCTTCCCTTCTGCTCCCACAGGGAACGAAGAGATAGAGCTTGCTGTGTCTGAGCTGCTAGCACCCCGCCTGCCCCCCACTGTGCCACCACTCTACCCGCCAGGGCCGCTGGGGCAAGTGACAGGTGAGTGGGTGCCTAGAGGCCCAGAGCCCTTCCTAGGTGGTCAGAGTGTGGGTCATGGTTCTTACACCCATGTCCACAGAGACACCGGCTGAGGTGTTCCAGGCCCTGGAGCAGCTGGGGCACCAAGCCTTTCGCCCAGGACAGGAGTGTGCAGTCATGAGGATCCTGACTGGTGAGCCGGGCTGTGGGCAGGTGGGTGGGCTGGCAGGGCAGCCACGGGGCGTCACCACCAGCTCTTGTCCCTAGGCATTTCCACATTACTGGTGCTGCCCACGGGTGCTGGCAAGTCCCTGTGCTACCAGTTGCCCGCCCTGCTGTACGCCCGGCGCAGCCCCTGCCTCACGGTGGTCATCTCTCCCCTCCTGTCACTCATGGACGATCAGGTGTGCAGACAGGCCCTGGGGATGGCAGGAGCCCAGGCCAGTCTCCTGTCAGCTGCCGCTCCTCAGTCCCTTCCTTGGGAGCTGTTCAGGGAGGGGGCCCATCTGTCCTGGGTGGCTCTGAGCTCAGTTCTAGCACACGAGGACTGGTTCTTCTCCCAGAGGACCAGGTGGGCATGGCTGCAGCTGCCAGGCTGGCATCTCAGGGCCTGGGGAAGGCCAGGCTGGTGGGCACAGCCCTTGCTCCTGTGCCTACAGGTGGCAGGCCTGCCCCCCTGCCTCAAGGCAGCCTGCATCCATTCAGGCATGACCAAGCAGCAGCGTGAGTCAGCCCTACAGAAGGTGAGAGGTCTCGTGGCCTGGTGGGGACACAGGGGCATCTGGGCTGTGCCACTGACCCTACTGCTCTCAGGTGCAGGCAGCGCAGGTCCAGGTGCTCATGCTGTCACCCGAGGCACTTGTTGGGGCTGGGGCGGGAGGCCTTCTCAGCCTCCCCTGGGCTGCACGGCTTCCCCCGGTTGCCTTCGCCTGCATCGATGAAGCCCACTGCCTCTCTCAGTGGTCCCACAACTTCCGGCCCTGCTACCTACGCGTCTGCAAGGTGAGCTGGGGGCCGGGCGTGTGGCTGACTCAGCCCTGTTGGACAACAGCCTCACTGCCCCGGCTATGCTGTAGGTGCTTCGGGAGCGCATGGGTGTGCACTGCTTCCTCGGTCTCACGGCCACAGCCACACACAGCACTGCCCGCGACGTGGCCTGGCACCTGGGTGCAGCCGAGGCGCTTGGCCTTAGTGGGCCAGCCATCATTCCCGACAACTTGTACCTCTCGGTGTCTGTGGACAGAAACCCAGACCAGGTAGGTGCTCAGGCGTGGGCCCCAGTGGAGACCCGGGAGCTGAGTGCTCACTGCCCACCACCCTCCCAGGCTTTGGTGACTCTGCTCCAGGGGGCGCGTTTCCGTGGCCTGAATTCCGTGATCATTTACTGCAACCGCCGAGAGGATACGGAGCGGGTTGCTGCGCTTCTCCGAACCCGCCTGTCTGCCTTCCAGGCCCCAGGGTCCAGAGGTGAGGCTCAGGCTGGCCCAGTGCCCGCAGACACCCCTGGCAGTCCCACCAGCATCTCACAAGCTCTGTCTTCCCCTAGGCCGTGGCCCCGAGGCTGTGGCTGAAGCCTACCATGCCAGCCTCTGCAATCAGGAAACACCGCCGGGGGCGGGGGCG